GGAAAAACAGAGAGAAAAGGAATTGTTATAGGACCAAAATGGAGTCTGTAGAAAAAATTTTCCATTGAGACTACATGAAATCAAAATTATGGCTACAGAAAGATCATCAAGTCACCGTTATGTAACGGTTCAAAGGTATGAAAATTTGAATATTTGATTGTTTCTGTTCATTTATCCTAATTTTGGTGTCTTGAGGTTTTATATTTATATAAATTAGGCCAATTATCACCAAACATTTTATTGATACGTTATTTAATTTGACGTTTCGTCCATACTAAGGGTCATTTTCAAGTCTGGAAAATTGTAATATCATTATTAGTTAACATTCGTAATTACATAAAGAATTTCTTATTACACTTAATTAACTTTTCTAATGATCTATTTTTGATACACATCAATTTATCCTAAACTATACATAGAAGTATACTCTTTTTCTTATAAAACCTTACATGTACGTAACTTTAAACATTAAAAACAATTGACTATTACCCTTGATGAGTCCTCCGTTATATATTCATCATTAATGTCGCAAATAATATGTTCAGTGAACATTAAATTGTCAAGGTCTATAGGGGTTTCACCTACGTCATTTCTGGAGGGACTGACTTATATCGTCCTGGTGGGGATAGTCAAAAGGAGAGGGATTTTCCTTCCATTGTTTTGCATTAGTGGATTATTTTTATCTAATTTATGCTTTTTAATTCATTATTTAAATTTTTAGTAATATATAGAGACTCTATAATTTTTCTTTTATTATTACTATTTTCCTTATATATTATTTTGGCATTTTTAAAATCAAATTGGCGTTTGTTGTAAGTTGAATGTTGTGAAAGGTCAGTTGACGTGTATGATTTGGACTTACAATTTTTAAAAAATCCGTTAACAACCATAATAATAAAAGAAAAATTATAGAGTCTCTATATATTACTAAAAATTTAAATAATGAATTAAAAAGCATAAATTAGATAAAATAATCCACTAATGCAAAACAATAGAAGGAAAATCCCTCTCCTTTTGACTATCCCCACCAGGACGATTTAAGTCAGCCCTACAGAAATGACGTAGGTGAAACCCCTATAGACCATGACAATTTAATGTTCACTAAACATATTATTTGCGACATTAATGATGAATATATAACAGAGGACTCATCAAGGGTAATAGTCAATTGTTTTTAATGTTTAAAGTTACGTACATGTAAGGTTTTATAAGAAAAAGAGTATACTTTTATGTATAGTTTTAGATAAATTGATGTGTATCGAAAATAGATCGTTAGACAAGCAAAATTAAGTGTAATAAGAAATTCTTTATGTAATTATGAATGTTAACAAATTATGATATTACAATTTTCCAGACTTGAAAATGACTCTTAGTAAGGTCAAAACGTCAAATTAAATAACATATCAATAAAATGTTTCGTGATAATCGGCCTAATTTATGTAAATATAAAATATTTGATTGTTTTAAATTTTTGAAAACAATTCGATAATTACTTTCGAATGATTTCTTTTTATTTTACATCAGAACATACATTAGGTATCAGCTAAAACAATCCAATGAACTATTCTCATAACCTATAAGAATGAGGTTCATTATAAGATTCAAACTGTTTTGTATAACTTCTATATGCTTATTATGATTTTATATTCATGTATTCTATTTTAGGGGAGCAGGGTCGCTCAGTGGGCGAGCACCTTTAGCAGCAAGAGCTAAAGGTAATATAGGTCCGAGTCCAGCTGACGACCAGTAATTTTTCATCAGCCGCGGATTGATCCTGGGATCGGGAGACCCTCCTGGGGCACACCCAGCCTCTATAAAGTGTGTACTATTAATTAAGGGGGAAAACCTGGTGGTTGAGCGTGATATCGGCCCAATCATCTCCCTGCACAACCGTTGGCCTTAATAATAGTACTTCCTCACATTGTACTGAACCCAAGACCCTTCATGGATTGTAGTGGTACAGGTAAGTATTCTATTTTAGTCTTGCTATTCATAAGAATGAGGTTCATTCATTTGTGAAGCGGACCCTACAAGGTAATTCATGAATGAACGTCACAAGAATGGCTAAGATTGTTCGGGATCGCTTTCATCATGAAGACCCCTATACGTTCAATCATTACTTTTCATTGCTGAAGCCAATTTAGCTCAGTTATAAACAAAGAAACGGCATAGATATGCTTATTTGGACAATGTCATTAATATTGGGTTGTTATTATTATGACATGACATTATTATGACATTGATATTGGTCCAATATCATAATATTGGGCATAAAGAGAAAAATGGAGATATAATAATTACTTCCTAGTGCCTGAAAATTGTTTAGAGCAAACTTAGAAAAATATAAGTTGACTACACACAAATATTTAGGAAAAGAATTGCGAAAATAATCAATTTGTAAAGAAAAATGGAAAAATTAATGACAAATAAACACAACAGTTAAAGATTTTTTTTCTATAAGTAAATTATGAAGTTTCCACTTTTTTTTCTTTTTCAATTTATTGCCTACTTGACTAATTAAAGAAAAAATAGTTGAAAATGGTGAATAAAAATATAAACTAGGGATATAAACAACTATTTACTTTTATGAAATTATTTACTTAAAAATGAGACCTAGGTAAACTAACCTATATAGTAGTGAGATTAGTCTCAAAGAAAATCGTTTTGACAAAAGTTAGTAAAATATAAGTCTACTGTTTACAAAAATTAAGGAAAGGTATTGCGAAAATAATAAATTTGTTGAGGAAAATAGGAAAAGAACTGACAAATATACACAACAGTTAAAGATTTTTTTTTTTCTTTAAGTAATTTGTGAAGTTTCCACTTTTTTTTTTTAATTTGTTGCCCATTTGACTATTTAAAAGAAATAGTTGAAGATGGATTATAAAATATAAACAAGGGATATGAAGAATTATTTAACCATTTACATATAATGAAAATCAGAAATTTATAATGGTTGTGAGGCCTAGGTAACCTAACTTATCCAGCAGTATGGTTAGTCTCCCCACTACTTTTATCTCACTCCCCCTCCACTTCTCGTGAATGAAGCTTTGATTTTCGGATGTTCGGAAATCCGCAACACACCACCATCAGTACTTCATTCACTACCTTACACGATAATTCGGAACGTCATTAGTGCCTCGGAATGCAATTCCGAAGGACCTTGTAGGGTCCGCTTAAGGAAAGCCATCTTAATTCTATGTAGTATTGCCAGTGTTCAAGGTTGGACGCAAGAGAGAGGATAACCATTATGCCGGAGATGACAGGAATATGACTACTAGATTGCTGCGAACAAGACCTGAAAATATCTTGTGCAAAAAGTAAATGAGTGAGGAAAATCTTCCTTCTTCAACTAATCAAGGTATATGTGGTGTGGCTTCAATTGACATCAGACCATTGTTTGCAAGGTATTCACAAAAGGTATTAGATTCCCGATTTACCAACAACAGTTAAACACCCTCAAAACGTCTATATCCAGTGCTGGGGTTTTGTTTTAATAATCGCGAGTGTAAATAACCTAGTTCCCCGATATAAAAGAGGAAGGCTATTCGCTATTCCTGCTTGAAAAACAAGTTATTTAAAATCAACTTTTAGTAGGTTATTTACACAAAATACCTAGAATATTGTTCCAATACATTGAAGATTTTCCTCAAGTTTGTACAAAATATCATACAAATTAAGGTTGTTTTACTGGAATCATTATCTCACTGTTTGAAAAGGCACTGTAAAAACAAAAAAGTCAGGAAGTAGGACCAAAAAAATAAAAAAAAGAGACAGAAATTCAGAGCCACTGCTCTCCCCCCCCTCTCCAAAAAAAACACAATGAAAAACAAATGACAGCCAGTACCACAATTAATAATGTAGTATGAATATAGTGACTTATGATATTTTATTGTATGCAGTTTTCTTCCTTCCCTCCATATTTAATTTTTTTGAAATTCTTGTCACCTTTTCTCCCTTTTCAGTAATTAATTTGGATTATTGAGATTATATTGTGTAGGGAAATTAAATGGATTAAATAACAAGACTAAAATAGAATACATGAATATAAAATTATAAGCATATAGAAGTTATATAAAACAGTTTGAATTATAAATACTACTGCATGTAATGGTACAAAGAAAGGCAGAGATGCAGTTAAAGATGTAAATGAAAACAAAACAGATAAATTATCATAATATAGAAAAAAAATAAGTTGTGTACTTTAGACCACACGATAGAATTGAAAACATCAACAAGGCGATGTTAATAATACAAAATATGAATTATACATATTAGCTCATTGTAAAGAGAATGAAATGCTGAACATTTCCCTAGCTTACAGTATGCAGGTCCGATTTTTAGTTTCTGAGATATTTTAATCCATATCTTCAATAAAACTCATTATCATTTGATTTTTGACACTATTTTTTCTCTTATTGCCTCTCTAACCAGGTGTCGCACTAAGATACAATTTTGAATAATAACTCATTACAAAGAGGATGAAATGACAAACACTTCCTTTGCTAACAATATGCAAGTCTGATTTTTAGTATTTGAGATATTTTAATTTATATGAAAAAACACTTCAATTGATCTACTTCATCCGAGTGTTACACATCGGAGATCTGACGACTCAATTTAATACACTCTTCACAAAAAATGTGCAAAGCACGCCTAAAGAGGTTTTAACTTAAAAAAAAAAAGAATAAAAATAGCTCCATAAAAAGTAAATAGTGAAATTTACTTTTCCTTTTATCCTAACCTAACCAAAATTTCTTAGATGTTATTTCATTTGCTCTTGTTTTATTCATTCAACTCAAAATTATGGAATTTTATGTGTTATAAAGTAGATATTAAACTTCAAATGTTCATGCACTTGGTATATTTTGCAGTTCAGATTATTTTTAAATATTACTCTGTGCTTATAAACTAACCAAAAACTTTAATAAAAAAATTTCTGAATAATGTTACTAAAACTGAAATACTTAAAATTAATGAATAAATAAAATTATGATTACCGGTTGAGAAGAAGCTTCTTTAAAGAAGATACTTCAAACTTTACTTCTTGTATTTCCTTAACAACCGTACTTTTGTTTTCGATGTTGTCTTTCAGAGAATCCAAGTTATGACAAATCTGCGACAATTTGCTCTCCATATCTGATAGACGTTCTTCAGTTGAAGGTTTTTTGCAGTCTCGATTTCCAAATAAATGCCTCCATAAAAATCTCTAAACAATACAACTCTGTCAAACATCAACATATTAAATTATTACCAAGTACATTTTATCTTTTACGATAAAATATGTTTTTTCTTATATATTGAAATTTACAACTATATAAAAAAATTCAATAATTTCAATTCAATCTGCTATATAATAGAATACATAAAATCATAACAGCTTGTGTAGCAACTAGAAGTTTGCAATTAAAAGATGTATTTTGTGCCAAATTTGTAACAAATGGAACATTATAGATTCCATGAAGGAATTTCGACTGTAAGGATTTGATATGAGAAGAACTTGATGATTCTGTGGAGCTCTGAAGCTCAATTCCATATGTTCAATGGGCGTGATAATGGTAATGTTTAAAGCATTTGCCATTTAAATCATTGTACATTTAAAGCATTGTAAGTGTTGTAGTTATCGGAATCAAATTAAATCTAAAAGCAGCTTCTTTAATTTTATGTTTTGCATGAGGATTCCAAGTAAATCGCTAATCAATTTTATTTATTTAACTCTTCTACATCATTTGCAACCGCTCATCTAGCAAACTTGAATGGAGAAGCAGCCATTTTATTATTTTTTTTCTGCATCAAGCAGCTAACAGGGAGGAAGAAAGTGATATAATGAGTGGATTGGGCTGATTTTGGGTTGAAGAGTGAAATTCAGTGTATTTGTCCTGGATGTAGGATTTTACTGTTGAAATGTATAAGTCATTATGTACAGTAAGATCTTAAATACACCATGTATATAATAGAAACATAATAATTTTTCGAATAATTTTAAATTGTTTTGCTGAATTTCATTTAGGAAATTTTGACAACAATGATGCTCAATGGTCTGGTCGCCCACATGAAATTGAAATGAGCAATGTTACGGCCATTGTTGATAAAAATCTCACCCAAAGAGTGCGAGAGATTGCTATGGCCCTAAATGTATCAAACACAAGCGTAGAAAACCATTTGCACAAGCTTGGCTATGTTTCCAGGCTTAATGTTTGGGTCCGTCACATGATTTTTATTCAAAAATAAAAAAAAAATTGAATATGACTTCAACTATCAACAAGAAATTTAGTAGTGATTTAGGGCCATATAAACTCCATACGGCTTTGAAGAGCAATAATTCAGCTTTCCAACGGATATAATAACATAAAATTTAGAGAAAACCCGGAAGTTATGAATGATCAGAAGGGTGTTGTGTTCCACCAAGACAACGCAAGGTCCCACACTTCATTGGTCACTCGCAATAAATTATTGAGCCTTGGACGGGACCTTTTGTCCCACCCTCCCTATTCACCAGACCTAGCTCCAAGTGACTACCAATTATTCCAATCTCTTAAATAGAAGAAAAAAGTGAAGAATTCCTATATTAAAACAATTTTCACATAAGCACAAAGCTGACAGTGTTCATATAACAGCTCTTGATGTTAACAATGAAGAGTTAAGATTGTAGTCGATAACAAGGTAGTAAAATATGAACTATAAGATAGCATTCATTATACTATTCAGAGGATAAAATTGCGTCAACACAACAGATTGGTTCCAGGGCTCGTTGTTAATTAAAATTAATTCCAATTTAAATATACATTACATCTACAATGTCTGCATGGTTAAATCGGTTTACAATGAAGAAGATAAAAGCACTTTTTATAAAATTTGGTTTGTTCAAAGATTCAGATCTAGAGTTATTAAACTGCATTAAATATATTTAAGGTTATAAACGTATCTATGAAATATTTTTATATTTCACTTCTTCTTTCACACAAGTACAATGAAATAATATTGGATATTATTGGAATATCACAAAGGGAAGATTTATCAAATTATTCACTAATTTAATTCCACGATACATGATATAAAAACGATTACATGACAATATTTCGGAATAAACGGACATTGATACCTAATTATTTAAATATAATATCTGATCTATAATCGCTAAACTACAGTAAATGTATTTAAGGTTATAAACATATGCTTTATACATCCATGAAATGATTTTATATTTTACTTCTTCTTTCACATAATTACAGTGAAATAGTTTTTTTAACAATACCATTGCCTCCTTGATTAGATGAATTTTAAATAATTTTTACAAAATTAAAAATGTTTTTTAAAGCTTACATTTAGTTAGTAAATTTCATTTAATTTCCTTGAAAACATGTGATACAAGTTAAATATTATTAGTTTTCAAAAATTATTATTTGTAATTTTTTAGCCACTCTCCGTTACCTTCTACAAGTTTCTATACTAGATATTCTTTTTTCTAAAGTTTTCCACTTTCCAATGATATATTATACATTTATGAGAAGGAGTTAGTCGAGGGTGCGGTCAAATGAATAAAAAAATTAAAATATATAAATTATTTTAATTTTTGCCGACGTTTCGACCCACTTTGCAGGTCGTCTTCAGGGCGTAGGATGTGGCACTGCGGCAGGCAGTTGAAACACTACCAGTGTATTTTTATTTTTTCCTCCTTTATTCAATTATCAACTTCTTCCAAAAGTTTTATTTAGCATTTTTTCTTAACTTTTAATAATGAGAGATAGTTAATTATTTGAAATGAACTAAGACTTTTCGTTTTTGAGCTAGTGTTCACATACACACAGACCATTTTTTTGGGACTTGGTTATTTGGACTGAGGGTACCTCAAAACGTGTATTTCCGTTGAAAACTCAGACTCGAAAATTTTCATGTATATATATTACATATATACGTAAGTGAAAGTAAAAAAACAGACTAAATAACGTCAACATAAGGGATTGACCCTTTGGCTTGTTGTTAATTGAAATTAATGATAATTTAAATATATATTACTTCTAAAATTTCTGCATGGTTAAATCAGTTTACAATCAAGGAGATAAAAACACTTTTAAATCGAAACATTGATCATTCTCATAAAAATTTGGTTTGTTCAAAGATTGTTTCACATCACTGTATATATATATTATTATAAAATAGAATATATTAAAAGTTCAATTATATAATTACAATTAAATTTTTTAACTTTTTATTCCCTTCCACTATGTAAGTTGGTATTTTGATCATATGAAGTTTAAATTCTAGGAAGTGTTTATTGTCAACAGAGAAAACAGGTCACAATACACAACTCATTTCCCACCAAATTAATTACCATCCATTACCATTCGATAAATAATTTATGAGGATAAATACGGAAGTCTATCAATCCAGAATTCCATTTCATGGCATAAGATTAACCTGAATAAAAAATCAATATAGCTATAATTAACAAAAAAGTAATATACAAATTAACAATAATTTTTAATCTTAACATTTAGATTTAGAATGTGATTATGATTTTTAGAAACATCAAGAAGTATAATTAAAATTGGTTATAATTTTTAAGTAAATGTTTAGTATAAAAAGCAACTAATACTATATTATTAGTAAATATATAATTTAAAAAATAATATTATGTTCAGAACAACATTTTGGCAAGATTTTTAAACAAATATGTATAATGTTATATCTTATTGAAAATCTGAAGTGCATAGATTAAATTAAGGAACCATGATTTTAGAGATAGCTTTTTTAGGTCAACTGTGTACTTTTTTGGATTTTCAGTAAACATATCATGTAATTAGTCGTTATAAAATAGTAGAATGTCAACAACATTTTATCTAAGATTTGTTTCCTATCATTTTAATATACGGCCATTATACACGACTGAGAACATTCCCGAAGTTTTTACAAATGCAAATCTATGATCTACGAGACTAATAACCACTTAAAATTTTATTATCTTCACGTTGAGCTGTCAGGGCATCTTCATCTATAATCATTGGAAATTTTCTTCATAACAAAAATTTTAAAATAGTACTACACGGCAATGCAACAAACATTGAATAAAGTTTAAATAACATAAATTAAAAAGTTAAAACTTTCACTTAAATACATTAAATTTAATATGATTTATTAGGAAAAGCTCTTATTAAAACCATCAGCGAGTTTTTATAATTAAATATTCATTAATAATTGCAACGATATTACAAATATAAACAAAGAATAACTTCATACCTGATCTTATAAATAAAAATATGGTAAAACAAAGTTTCATAATAATGGAATGATCTAATTTTTTATTTGATAATTGTAAATTCTATATATATTTTTATTGATAATCGACATAGTCTTGATTAAGTTCACATGATAATATTATTATTTTCAACTATAACATAATATGTATCCTAAGGCAAAATCATAACAATAACAAATTCAAAGTGATTATATTAAAAAACTAATTATGGTTGATTACTTGTTATTAACATATAATATATAAGTTTTATTGTAGATAATTTATTATATTTTCCAAGATCGGTTCCATTCTAAAATCACTTGAAGAAGGTCTGACAGCCAAATTGTACTGAAAATGAAGCTTTAAGGCGTGAAGTGTTTTTTAGTTTCAAGAATTTTAAATGAACTATATCAGCTTAAGCATAAATATACAACCTAATAATTTTAAAATATTTGAAACAGATAAAAAAAATTAGAAATTTTACAGTGACATATCCATTCTACGCCGAATTACTCAGAGGAATAAATTTACTGCGATAAAAGAAGAAAAGTGTTTTTACGCCATCTGGACTATTTGAAGGAACCTAGGAAAAATACTTGATTATGAACAGTATCACCACAATTTTCAAAAATTTCCCTCCATACATCAGGTAGGATATTTAAAACTGTTTTGTCTAAAATACTACATTAAATTATTAGTGACAAATACTACTATTATAAACATAACTCAAAAAAACCAAACCACAAAAGTTTCTGTTAAGTATGATACAACATAGTAATGAAACTTCCTGGAAAGTATTACCCATGTAAGTCAATCGAACTAAATGCTATTGCCGATTCATTTACATAATCTAGAGCCTGGGACATGCCCGGAGACTAAAATTTTGTCCATTTAACTTGAATATTATAGATAAAATCTTGTTTATAAGGTCTTGATAATACTTCCCCTTTAATAATTCATTTACTATTTACTTTCACTTACCTGTATATGCAATTTATAGTAAGGGTAAGTATTGTGATCATGAAAATTTATTAGTGTGACTTTTCAACGGCAATACATGTTTTGAGGTCTCCTGATTCCAAATAACAAAGTCCAGCAAAATGGTCTGGGTGTGTGTGTATGTATGTTATGTCAGTCTAGCTCAAAAACAAAAAGTCGTATGACAGTGAAATTACATATTTAAGGTTTTTATAAGCTTTTGATGTTACAGCAACATTTTCTTCAAAATCGGCAAACTAGAAGTGGTACTGACTTTATGTAATCGATTTAACACATTTTTATGATTTTCTCAAAAACGGCTCTAACTAACAATTTTGATTAAACTCAGTATATAAGTGTATTACTAAGCAGTTTTTAATATAATGTAGCTTTTATTCTCATTGATGTTCTCTATCAGGGCTTAAATGGCTAATTTTCAATGTTGACTTCCTCTGAAGTACCTTTATTTTTTTTTATTTGAAATAATTAACCATTTCACATTAATCTTTGATATAAAAAATAGTTAAATATAAAATATTTGATAATTAAATAACGGGGAAATAAGAGATCGTAACGGATAATAGTTGTAATAGAGGAATCAAAGGAATACGAGCTTGCCTGAAAGATTATAACAGGCTTCCATACGTAACGTGAGCTTAATATAATACAGACTCCTTCAATATTATGTTCATATACATAAGCGAATTTCATAAATCCTATTGATTGTATTATTTAATATATGATTGTATAGATTACAGGAATATTAAAATTAAAATTTGTATATCTAAGGGTAATTAAACTAATAAAAATACCCACAATGAAATGTAAATAAATATAGCATCTATAATTTTTACTTTCACTTCCTCTTTATCTGAAAATACTTACTTCTGCAAAGAAGAGGATGGTAAGTTAAAGTCGTGTGATGCGTGCACCAGATCTTTTATCATACTCTAACAAATCTTTTAAAATGTGCAAATTAGAAAAACTCAATTAATCACAACTGTATTTTAACATATGACTGGTTTCATATCAAAGATGGACATCTGCTATTTCAGAAATTGGAAGTCAATTTTCGTTTTACAGTTTCAACTCAAACTGCTCCTGATTTATTTATTTAAGAATGCTCAAGTTGAATCATGAAAAAAATAATTAGAATTGATTTAAATTAAAGTTGTGTTACAAAAAATTAGCTTTTCCTAAACTTATTATTATAAATAACAAATGTCAGTCTTTGATATGAGGCCACTCATATGATAAACACTAAAAAAAATAACTTACATCTCCTCTCTCCTCTTCAGTAACTTTTTCACCGGGATAAAGTGCCACTTGTTAGTGTGAAATAGATTTATTTTAGTCATAGTCTTACCGCAATCAACTTCGTAAATGGACAATGAAATTTTCTTTAAAATTTTGAATGGACCAACTTCCTTCTACTTAACTTACTACAATACTCAACATAAACTAAATCTTCTATTTCAAACTTATGATCTATTCTATTTGCATCAATTCTTTTGGTGTTACTATGTAAGTGTTACCAGAACTCACAATTACATCATAAACGGAATGGCGAGAATGGTGGAGTGTATCCAAAAGTAAACGCAAGTGGCCTAACCATCTCATAAGTTCCCGACCGTGACTGAAAAGGACATGTAGAGAGATTTGTTTATCTCTTTAGAGTGAGCATAGAGAGTAGATACTGAAAGCAGGGATGCAGTTAAAGCTGTTTATTTTAACTGAAAAGGACCAGTAGAGAATTCGCAGAAGTCTTAAATCACGTTATAAATAAGGGGAGGTAATTCCGTGAACATGTCAATCCTCAGAATTCCACTTTTAGTGTGATTGTGGTATCTAAGTCGACTCGTCAAAATAGAGGTACACTTGTACAGTAAAAATTAAAATGGTCTGACTACTCCACAATTTAATCCTGATGCACTCAACAATTATGAAGTGTCTTCAAAAAAGTCTATTAAAGAACTTGAGGTAGCTATCAAGAAAAAACCTGAAGATCAAATTACTAAACCACCCAAAGAGATTTATGGCACACCCAGGTAAACAACTGCAGAAACCAAGCCAATCAGAATTTGAACGATTACTGATGTCTTGTAATAATGGTGAAGTGAACTGTTTGAATAATGTTTTATGTTTATTTTCATCTATCATTCATGAAATCTTCAAGGGTATATCTATGAGCAAATGAAATTTTCACTTTATTAACTGCTTATGTAATTTAATTTGCAAATTAGAAAAACTGATTATTATTCAGATAAGAACAATCAAATAACAAACTATAAATTACACTAAAATATTTGCAATTAAACCTGAACAAATGATAAACACAAAAATTATTTTCAAAGGTTTAAAATGACAAAAATTCTACTAGGTTGAGAAGAATAAAACATAAGTATTAGTTTAAAAAAATAAAATAATAAATTAAAAATATTGTTCATTATAAAAATGATTGATATAACATGACTATTGTATTGAAAATATATAAATTTTTTTTTTTTATTTGTTATTTCAGTGTAAATTTTGAATTTAGGGTAACATTAAATAGATTATATTTATAAATTAAACTGGGCAATATTTCTTTGTATTTGTTGAACTTAATTATATGTTTATGTTAATTTTCTCATTAGCTTTTAATATTTATAAGCATCCCTAGGAATAAAAAGCTACAATGTGATGATTATTATTATGAAAAATACATTTTTTTTTCATAGATAAATAGTTGATATATTCAATCTGTTAAAATAAGAAATTACTAATACAGTGAAACGTTTGTATATTTAGTTTCCATAAATCGAATATCTACTATAAATCAAACTTTTTTAGGAGCCTAACAAACATATTCTATATACGGAATAAAATAGTAAAAAAAAGGAGATCTAAAAAAAGAAGTGACTTTAAGAAAAATATAAAATGAAATTGTCACCAAAAAAAAATTGTTCATAACTTAGTCATCTTATTTTCAAAGCTATCATATTAAAAACATCAAAATAATCAATATGGTTTGACTTCCTTTAAATCCTTGTATTAAACTTTATTTATTTCTTATTATGATCATAAGCTAGTTGTGATAGAAACATCACTAGTATCACTATATGATGGGAACAAGATCACACAGTAGACGGATCTCCAAAACCGGTAAAGTGTGTCCGAAAATAGATGTAGGTTAACAAACAAGATTAACTTATTGGTAAGTATAAATTTTAAGTGAACAGAAGACAAACAAATAATTAAAAGTAATGAAGGCTCAGGACTGAAATGGTCCCGTTGAAAGGTTTGCGAAGTCCTAAGTCACGATTTATACAAAGTGAGAATACACCCCTGAACAGGATTTTCAATACCCGGCCATTTCCAGAATTCCATCTGTAGTGTGGTTACGCGTAGTTGTTGAAGAGAAAGTTGTGAATTAGCACCTTCTGGTACGTCATTAAGTTATTCAATTCAAGTATATAATTGATAATTTGATAGAGAGACAAAGATTTATGAGTTATACATTTTCAGCTTACTAAAATCTACAGTTATAATCTGTCAAAATGTATAACAATATATCAATAACGCTAAAAATAAATTAGGGATTCGACAGAACTGGACAACTGTGCTCTAAAATACTTATTTCACAAAAGATTAAAGGAAGCAACATGCTTAAAATATCAATCACATGGGTTTTGGTAATTACGGAATAATGAATGTAAACATAAGAAAAAAAGTATTTCTAAATTTTCAAAAATTTTACATAGGAATAAAGAAATTAACTGATTCACGAATCAGACTTTAAATAATAAATGTAAAATATGCTGAAAATTGCTAAAAGCACAATTGGCTTGTTGATATTTTGTAACATCTCAACGTATTCCCATCAAGGAAATAAGGACAGGATACCTGGTATGTTGCCAACATAATCTAACCTGAGTGAAGAAGAAAGCTACAGACAGCACTACGCCTAATCTTATATTTTTGAACCATGAAAATTTCTACAATAGAGTAAAAACTAGAGGCAAAAAAACAAGATAAAATACTTTATTTTTTTGTTTTCTAATTCCAATTGATCTCTGACTACAAAATTAATTGGAAACAGTGCTCAATAATTACTTATAAAACTGAAACGACAAGATATTCGTTTGTAATTAATTACAAAAATATGAAAAAGAGGATGCTGAATTATATCAGATCAAACGCGTCACTGTATAAATATCTGTAATGTACCTACAAAATACAATAGTCACACATAGAAAAAAAATTCAAAGATATTAATCAAATTAGAATACAACCATTAAATTTTACCTTATAAAACCAGTATAAACCATATAAAACGCCAGCTAGAAGAACTATTCCATTAGCAATATCCCTAAATTTTAACCATTTTTGATGTGGTGGTAGAGCAACTTGTTGATAAGGATATCCCAATGTACTTGGAGGGTGAAATGATCTGTTATACTCCAAATTCTAAAAGCATTACAATTATATTAAAATTTTGAATAGCAATATTGATTAACAAAATAAAAACACTCTTCACCTTGTTTTGGAGCATGAGTTCACATTTCTTGAAAGCCAAGTCAATTTCTACATCTGACAGACCTTTCTTTTTCAAAAAAGCAATTTTCATGTCTTCCGGACTCTTCTGGACATTATGCATTGATAAAAAATCGGCCGCTTTTTTAACCTAATAATAATAACGACAGAAAATTATTTAAAGACATATTTACATAAAATTCTTAAGAAATCAAACTCACCAATTCATCTCTTGGCGGTACTGGTGGTTTATTAGCAATAGAATTTGGATCATTGTTGTTTTCTTCACTAGACATATCAATTAAATTATAAATACAAAGGTTAACACATATCTCAAACAATGACTTGACGAAAAGGGATTACATGAAAATTTCTAAACAGGAGATAAGGTTTAAAAGAATTTGTAGCCTCAAGTTAGCAATAATCGAAAGAAAAGCTACAAACCATAATCGATATCTAAAGCAGAAAAAATACTATGGAAGTTCAGTATTGAACTGTGTCCTGACAATTGTGGATCTGTAAAAACTATGCAGAGATTTTTCAATTTCAAACCGTATTCGTGGTTAGTTTTTTTTTTATCGTCCAATCCAACATTTACCACCGATGCACGATCGCTCTATTTTTTACCAATAAGAACAATTATTTTTTCTGGGGATCTTGCTCATGGAGCTTCTTGTCTCCTACTTCAGGAGATGTGGGTTGGACCTAATAACTTCCTTCCGCCCGTATACAAATTTTTTGTAGTGTGGGTATTTCTTTTCTGGTCATTAGCTCAGAAAGAATGTTCACCCTTAGAACGAACAGTTCCGTTTATGTCAGGAGCTTGGTTCTCACTGTCCCAAAAATAATGTAGAAAAGTACGATGTACTCGGTGGTTTGCAGTACTCCACAAGTTGGGCATAGTTACTCCATGTTCTTACCATGTTTTACGAGCTTTACTAAAAAAACACAGTGTCTCACGAGAGCAGCCACGGAGGACCAATGAGGTTTCCATTACGAACCGTGGGGGTAAAGTATTTCCTGAGGATATTCCCTTTCCAAGTCATCGTCTATCGCCAGTTTTATTCTTGTATGTTCTTTCAAAGGATCCTCTTCCATCAGCTGGGGTTTTTATTGATCCTAACAGATTGATTCAACAGGTCTTGCTCTTGTTCTCAACAAATATTAGCTTGATCGGATAATCGAAGGTGTTCTAAAAGTCTATCAATATTTGATTGACTGCTGTGAAAATAAAAAAAAAGCTTTTGAAGGGTAATGTGAATTATTTTTGACAACTAGAGCAACTGGTAAGTTACAATTTCTCAACAGCTTTATTGAAGAATGCATTAGCAACTCATGCATAGACACAAGATGGATGATAAACGATCTACTTCAGATTGTGAAGAACCTCTAATAAAGTTTGTCGCTCCTCAAATTCGGATTTGTGCTGATTAAATTGTTTTGCTTTGGGCCCATCTTAAGTTATTTCATCAAAGTGTGCATCTTTCTGAGAGGAGTTATTTTAATACTTATTGGGTCTCCAGTTATTTTATTAGTTTCTTCAATTTACTGATTGTCAAAACTCGTGTTGGAACAAACCTATTGTAATATAAATTGTAAATAAATAGGTTGTATGAGAGAAATTTCTTTACTTACGTAGTAATATTCTTAACTCGATGATTTATTTCATTAAAAATATTTGGAAACTTCATCTTCTCATTAATAATTCCGTTTCTATACAAACAATTTCTTATTAGTTATTAATTTCAACTATTTTTTCTTATTCTTATTGAACAAATAGACAAAGTTAGGAAGTTAAAAATGGAAAATGACTCAACAGTGACGTTACAAAATAGAATTTATGCACTTCAGGCATTATGGACATATACAGAGTTGTTGCTCTTTGCTATTTTATAACCTCTCGGCTCTTCAGGTTCTACTGTTTTGTTTATATATCAGTCTAGAAGTAACGTTTTTCAGTCTTAAACATTGAAGATTGTTTTTTGTTTGAAGTAATTTGGTTTAGTTTGTAATTAAAATGGGTAAAGGTTTTAATAATTATATGTGTAAAAAGTTTTTCCATCCAGCATCCAGAGACAATTTAAAAAGAGTAAGCATTGTTTTCATTATATTTATTTTATTTAGATTTTATTGAGGTTTTTTTTATCTTCAGTATTTTGCAAGTTTTTTTATTGTTTTAATTAAAGTTTATGCTTTCAAGTTAAAAGTCAAATGTAAGGAGATAACTTCTTTGTTGACCTTCAATCGGTAAAATATTTAGGACACCTATTTATAATTAAATTTATTCATGTACAAGTTCATTTTCTTAGATAGGAATAAATCTGATGTGTTAAATGTATGAGTTAGTTGTTTACTTGTTAAACTAAAAATTATTTGTTTTAACGGGTTTGTGTAGTTCTGAATCAAAAGTTTTACCTTGCAGTGCCTGATATCTCTCTGTAATTATGGATTTATAATATTTCTATGATTACCAATTCAGTATTTTTTTAAAAATTACTTGTGTAGTTTTGGAATTATTAGTGTTATAACTATTAATTCTATGGTCTGCCCTTCTTTCTGTTTTCGGGAAATATTTAGAGAGTTTAGTACTAAAAATCTGCACTTTTCTTTATTCTTTCTAATTAATTATTGCTTTCAAGGAATTGTAATATTGAAATAAAAAAATATTAGGATAAGAAAGAAAATTCTCCTGTTTTAGCTTTCGCAAATAAGTTTGATAGGAGTTCATTTTCTGCAATTTTAGAGATGAAAAATAATCATCATGTGCAGTCAAAAACCATGCTTATTAAGTTTGCCAATGTTTCAACCCAAGCATTTGGGTCATCATCATGGAATGGTTTGAATTTAAAACAAGATCTTTTGTTTGTAAAATGATGGGTGTAATTAGTAAAACTTAGTAAACATGATTATTGACTGCATATTCTTAATTATTTTTTATTTCATTACTTAAAGGGAGTGGGATAGCACAGTGAGTAAGGCAATGTGTCCCTATGCTTCAGGTTTTTTAGTTCAAATGCGACTGTGGTAGGTTACTATTTATTCTGATAACAGAATATTGATGATGATTGAATGATTTAATAGAATAAATCATTACTGTAGTATCTATATAGTGGATACTCTTACTTAAATAGTTCAGAGGAAAAACATGGGAGTGGAGAGTGATCTTGCTCAAAAATCACCTCCTTGCAAAGCTATTGATAAAGAAAATAGTACTTTCTTTGTTCAACGTACTGAACATGATACCCTATGTGTATGTTTGTAGAGGTACAGGTTTTTATTTTTTTGTCAGTTTTATAAATATTTATTTTTCCTCGTAATATTTCATTAACAGTTATCACTTCTACAAATTTCAATGAGTTTCTTTGCTTACAATTTATTGTTGTTTAAAATTTTAGGTATGGATGGCTCAACAAAAGGATGATGCATACAAGAAAAAACAGGAAGAACTACGCATTCAGTATGAAAAAGAACAGGATCTTTACAATAACAAGTAAGAAGCTTATTTTATTTTTTATTCAGGTTAATATGACCAAAATAAATATTTTTTAGATCAATCATTTATTTATTTTTATTTTATATTTAGAATACATGTATGTATATATTAGACGTGTATATAACATTCAGTCACTTACTCTTATCTTGTTTTTCCATTTTTTTCAGAGCTATGCTGAGTAAAGAAAGCAAAGATAAACTCAGTGTTAATTTTATGTATGAACCACCTCCTGGAGCTAAAAAAGAACGTGAAAAAGAAGAAAATGAACCAGAATATAAATTTGAATGGCAGAGAAAATATAATGCTCCCAGAGAAGAGTAAGTAATTTTATTAACAGAATACAAGTTTAAGAAAATCATATATATAATATCATATTATAATCAATATAATATATAATCGTCAATATAAACCATAACATCAAAATTATGGTTGAATTTGTTATTTTATTTAGTTTCCTCGTGAATTGTTACATTGTTCATGGTTTATAAATAATAATCTTCTGTTATCTATTGTTATTTACAATACTCTAAACTCTTTTTTTTTGTTTTTGTTTTAGTTACTGTAAAGGGAATGCTGAAATTCAGGACCAGCCATTTGGAATACTTGTCCGAAATGTTAGATGTATCAAATGCCGTAAATGGGGTCACATTAATACAGGTAAGTGGAATTTTCTTATCCATGTTTATAATAATTTCACTTCTTTCATAATTTAATAATGATATACCAGTTAACCTATGCAAATAATTTGTATGTTATATTGATCAGTCATTAAATGTTAACATAAAGTAGAAATGATTAATGCAAGACTCTTTAAGATGTTGTTAAATATTTTTTGTTAGTAAAGAAGGGTCAATATTTAAAAAAAATAGTAAAAAGTTCAATAGGTTGGATGCATCTTTACTAATAATGGTCAGATTTAAATGATTTTATTTTATGGAAATTTCATTATGTTTCAAATAGTTATTTTTATAATCAACCATAAATAGTATCATTTTTTAGTTATTCAAAATTAAAAAAACTTTTCTTTCCTTCATAACTTTGTCTGCTTTTTATGGGATATGTGCTAAACAAGGTTGGGAGAGGAAACGTCAAATGTTTGAAAACTACAGTTCTTGATTCCAAATGAATGAACTGTTATTTCAAACAGATAAGAACAGTTGTTTTCATTTAGTTTTTATGTTCACCGCTTATCAAGTCGTTTATTTGTTTCATGTTTTCTGTTTTACATTTTCTGAGAGTATCAGTTCAAACGGATGAACTTTTTTTATATAGTGTAACATCTCTTTATGTTTTTAAACTAATAATAATATAACCTCGGATGATCACTTCAATACTATTGGGATATTTCCTAAATAAATAAGAGGTTTTTAAATAATAAACAAAATTATAAGAGTATTAATATATTAAACTGAAATTTACAATTATTCTATCTCAGGCATGGGTTACTGACAATCAGATCAAAACACTCAGACAAACTATTATTATTTACACTATTTATACTGAAATTAAACACTGATTTTAAAATTAAGTCAAGTGTGGATTGCCAATTGCTTTTTTTTATAGATACTATTTCTTCCTTTGTTCCTCTAAATTCATTTGTCTTCAAATGATTCCAATGTTCTGCCAAACACATGATAGCCTCTTCTTCTGAAGACGGCAATTCAAACAATGTAACAACATCCATAATTTTATGAAAATAAAACTAACTCACAGCTTATATGAGGAACAAAAAATAAATAGTGGAATAACTTAGGTTAGAAGGGAGAGATAAGAAGGGAGGTTATGTGATATAAAATTTGATAACAAGGGAGGTTTCGACCCGACCGGCTATTTAACAAGTACCTGTTGGTATTACTTGGCAGTCTAGGTATTACATCATATTCATCCTGATCATTCCAGAAGTAGCAAAACTGTTCATGGTATGACAGTTCTAGTTTATGTTATCATTTATTTATTATTTATCCGCTCAAGAGACACTGGAAGCTGCCTTAGCCCTCTCAATTGCCTTTTCTCAGTCATTGTGGTCAATAGGAAATTTGCTGGACGCTCCGATTATCCTGAAGCCAACAGCTCTTTCCACCTTTTCTATGGTCTTCTGTGCGGTCTAACTCCATACGGGATTATATAATAAAAGTACCTAACTGATTATGTGTCCTGGTCTTTTTTTTTTATTATTATTATTTATGAAATTTACAACTACAATTAATATACATTCAGCAAATGTGATACAGATAAATACATGACAAAGCTTTTAGAGAATCTACCCATTGGTAGTACTCTAATAAAATTTCTAAATTAGGAGATCACGAGGCCATCTTCTTTTCAGACGCCTAGGAAGGTTATCAGTGATTGAGGAAGAAGCAAGGTTAGAAACGAGAGGATTAGGATGGTTCTAAAGTATAGAAGGATAGGTATCTGGATTGGGCCAAATCGGAAACGTATGGAACACTCAGGTCATTATGGATTATTTTATTTGTTACAAAGTAAGGAGCACTAAGGATTTTGGATTATAAAGATTGGATACGAAAGGAATTCGATAGTTTAGTGGAGCCACAAAGCTCAACCTCGTAAGTCTAAATAGGTCTTATTATGGTCATATATATATATATATATATATATATATATATATATGAGTCTTTTGTAATTAATTGTAAGGTTAGAGCATTTGTCTAGCAAGTGCCGAAGTACTTGGAAACGTTGAGTGGCTTCTTGTCGTTTCAGTTTGGTATGAGGATTCCAAGTTAGACGTTTGTCTAAGTGGAGTCCTAGGTATCGGATTTGTTCAACAGGGATAAGTGGGGTATTATTAAAGGATACTGTAGGACAGAAGGGCATAGGTTTACGACGAAGGATAAAGATAATTTGATGAGAATTATTGGAATTTACTTTAATTCTCCAGTTTTGACACCATTCTTCAAGGTTCGTGATATGGGATTGAAGGATTTGGGATGCAATTGTTTGTCATGTGTCATCGGCATAAGTTGTAAGAATGGTGTTTGGATGTGTTGGGATGTCAGCTGTATAGACTGTGTAAAGAATAGGACCTAGCTAACTACCTTGATGAACATCAGCAGACTGGGAAAAGAGGGATGAATAGGCATTGTTGTGATTTACTTTGAAGTATCTATTAGTAAAGTAGGAGCGAATAATGAGGAAGTATGTAGATGGTAGGAATTTACGGAGTTTGTACAGCAGTCTTGGGTACCTAGCCTTTTTAAGCACTAAATTTGCATGAAATGGGAAGCTCGAAAATCGTTGTATTATTCATAAATCTGTTTCGTTTTTCCTTCTTAAGTGGTACAGGCCCTTTACCCTGATAGGTCCCATGATGCACCTCAACACTTTTCTCTCAAATATATATATATAACCTATAGTGAAACATAGAGGAAGCTCTTTGATGGTATGGGGATGTATGTGAAGGTGTTGGACACCTTAAGTTAACCTTTAGGTTAACCTTTTAAGATAAAATTTTTGTATTGAGGTTGACCAAAATAAAAAAAAAAGGCTTAGCGAACCCGAAGGTTCGATGCCGACACCACCAATCGCTTATTACACACCTCCCTCCACCCTTTCGCCGTCCAAACCCAGTCCCTTCAGATCGAATTCAACGCAATCTTCCCACTTTCGCTTCGGTCTACCCCTCAGACGTTTACCATTCAGTACAGCAAATATTAACCTTTTAGGAATTCTTTCGTTACTAATCCCCACAATTTTCCAAGCCCATTTGATTTGCTGCGATGAAATCACCTCAATTATATTAACTGGATACAGTCCACACAATTCGGCGTTGTGTAACCATCTGAACTCTCAGGTTTACTCATCCTTCTTCGGTCCGAATATTGTACGCAATACTTTATTTTCCAAAACCTTAAGACGTTGCTCATCCCTTAATGTAAGCGGCCACATTTCGTATCCATAAAGAACTGTAGGTAAGATAATGGTTTTATAGATTCTAATTTTTAAGTTCCAGAACAAGAGGCGCAAGCTAACTAGTTTTGTCACAGAAAATAACAAACATTTCCTGCCTTCAGTCTAATCTTAATCTCCTCTTCAATTTCGTTTTTTCTAGTTATCGTAGACCCTAGATACTTAAACTTCTCTACCTGTTCAAACATATTTCCGTCTATATCGATATCACCAGTAATATCGCCATTTTTGCAGCTAACCATATATTTTGCCAAGAACGGCTGTTGTCCCTCCCAGATTCAACCTTTTTTCGGTACGCATTACCTCCCTAATGGCATGTTCTAATGCCAAATTGAACAGGACAGGCGAAAGGGAATCCCCCTGCTTTAAACCCGAACGAACCTCAAAGTTTTCGGACAGATTATTACCGATTCTAACTTTATTGAGTGTTTCCGTCGAGCACATCCTGACTATATTTACTAGTTTTTTTGGAATTCTCTGCTCGATTAAAATATTATACAGTTTATGACGGTCAATAGAATCGTTAGCCTTTTTGAAATCGATATACAGCTGATGAACAACACCGTTATACTCTAATTTTTTCTCCAATATTTGCCATAAAGAAAATATTTGATCAATAGTCGAACGATTCTGTCTAAATCTGCATTAGTAGTCTACAATAATTTCCTCAGTGTATTCCGTGATTCGACTGGTTAAGATTAAAGTGAATATTTTATAACATACTGGAAGGAGTGAAATTCCTCAATAGTTATTACAATCTGTCCTCGGATCCTTTTTGTGAATCGGAATAAGAATAGATTCTTTCCATTCTTCATGTAATTTCTCATTCTCCGAGATCTTTTTAACCAACAAATGTATTTTAGAAACTCCAGTTTCCCAGTATGCCTTAATTAGTTCACTAGGAATATCATCAGTCCCCGCTGCTTTATAAGATTTTAATTTTCCGATAACTACTTCAACTTCCTCTTTACTTGGTCCGTCTATTAACGATTCAGCACACTGGTACTCAGAAGGAGGACAAAGATCATAATTTCCCGTATTTAAAATCTTGTCAAAGAGGTCCTTAAACTTACTTAATATGTCAACTAGATCGGTCAGAATATTGTTATTTTCATCTCTAATTCCAGATGTTACGGGCCTCAAACTTTATGTGATCTATTTATATCGTACATGTCTCTTGTTCCCAACCGGAGTCCAAGACGGAGGACTAGTTTACCTCCGAATAATGAGCGTTTTACCTTAGGGAGATCCATGACTATTCGTGGTGTTTGGTGAACTAAAGATATGTGAGTAGGGTGTTCAATCCTACGTCATCCTTCAGCAGTAGGGATGGGAAAGAAAACACCGAACGTTTGAAAAGAACAGTTCCTAATCTCAAACGAATGAACTGTTCTTCCAAACGGATAACAACAGTTGTTTTTCTTTAATTCGCCCATTTGTCATTAGTCGAGTTGCTGTTTGATTTTTCCAAATGAAACAAAAACTCTTTCTGCTTTCCAATAAACCTATTCAGTTCATCATGAAAATAACCCAACAGTTTTTTTTATAAGACATGTTTCAACTGTTAAGTTTAGGGATGTAATTTTTAGCTCCCATTATTAATAAAGGCTAGAAATAAATAAAAACTTTCATTATCGTTACTACATTACTAAATTAACTTAAGCATATTTGTAGGCAAAATTAGTTTATGTTTTTAGATGTATCTATCTATATTAGTGTCTTAAAGACCG